AGCAATATCTTAATGAGGACAAATATATAACTTCTGTAACATCAATCATCCTAAGAATAATATAAAAGTCTATACAAAGTTTCAAAGGCGTATATTGAATATGGTGACCTCTGTCATAATTGCAAATGGCGACCGGTCATAATTTAATCGACAAAGATTTCTACCCTTTAATATACTTTATGGGATCCCTTACATTTAAAAGCCGATGATACCTTGAATATACAAAACGTTTGTTAATTTAACTTTAATTTAGAAAATAAAATCGATTTTGCGAAAGAAAACTCAAAAAAAATCTAAAATGTATTTGCAAATGCGTATGCAAAATTTATTTTATTCATCATAAATATTGTGCCCCTTAAATAAATGTGTTGAAAGGAATACAACAATAAACCACAAAACAAGGAGAACGTTAATAAGCTGAAACAATAAAAACCGAAAAAACCCGGAAAAATTTTGCACAGATCAGTCTTTTGTCTGCAGGCAGTTCAAGTTCGAAGATGGGCTATACCGGTCCGCGATATCGCATACTCCATACAACGGTACCACTCTATATTCGGTATTTTGATGATTTTAACCACATTTTCCAATGGAATATTCTGAAATCCACACAAGGTGATCTTTCCGAGTACTTTACCCTCTGTTAACATAGGTCCACGATATCGTATAGCCCCCATACAACGGTACCTCCCAATATTTGGTATTTTGACGATTTTAGCCACATTTTCCAATGAAATTGTCTGAAAATCCACACAAAAGAGTTCTTTACTCTCTGGAAGAGATTTGTTTATATAGGCCCACGATATCGTATAGCCCCCATACAACGGTACCCCCCGATATTCAGTATTTTGATGATTTTATCCACATTTTTCAATGGAATTGTCTAAAAATCCATGATAGAAGTTCAATCAGGAATAAAAATATCTATATAAGTTGAAGATATCGTATAGCCCACATACAACGGTACCCCACGATATTCGGTATTTTGATGATTTTAGACACATTTCCTATGTAATTGTCTGAAAATCCACACAAGGAGTTTTTTCTGAGTACTTTACCCTCTGGAAGAGGGTATATTGCAATAGCTCTCATATATACATATGTTTCATCCGATTTGTGGTTTTAAATCCCTCACATCGTAATATGCATTCGACAACAATAATAAATGGTACCAGATATTAGATACAGCCCAGAAATACCTCTGCCTAATATTATCAAGAACGGTTGAGATTTGGATATACACTGGTGCCCAAAACTAAAGCAACTTTTTTAAAAATTAAGAAAATGAGAAAGTTTTTTTTGTTTTAAATTAAAATTCATTTTTATATAAAAAATAATGTATGGTAAAGTCAATTACCCCGATTTTGGCTTGGACAAAACTAAAGCAACTGTTGTACATTCATATAACTGCTGCAATTTCAGTTGTTTTTACTGTGATATTTATCGCTTTTTGCTTCCTTTGACAATATCGCTTGTCATAAATCCTTTTTGAGAAGTTTTTTACAACAGCATGTGTTTTTCTTTTCGTTTTTTAAGTACTGGCCAAAAAAAGTTTAAAAAGGGCTAGAAGCAAATACAGTACATAAAGAAAACAGCATATTATCAGTAACTATGAAAACAACATATCACAGAAAATGATTTCCGAGAAATATTTCATAAATATTTCTGTGATTTCATAATTATTTCTGTATATTAAGTTGGTTTTTTGAAACTGGATCAGTAGTAACAGTCTATAACGGATGAAGGCCGTGAAAAACTTCAACCCGTACTGATCCACAAATTTTGAGAGAAATAAAAAAAAAACAACCATTTAAGAGTTCAACAGGATTGGTGAGAGAGCAATCATTGGATATAAGCTCGAGATCAGTGCGTAGACGAGTAGTGGCAGCATGCCCGTAAGACATCAAAAAAGTCATTTATATCTGAAAAAATCAAAAAGGTTTTCGGAAACGACAATATTAAGTGGAATCAAGTTCAATGGAAAAACATATTAAAGGCTCAGACGTCAAAAATTTTACGGTGAGAAGACCAAAAAATTAAGGACTTAAGCCGCAGTGATGCAAAGGTCAGTGAAGCATGAGGGAGTGTCAAAAATGGCGTGGCGCTGTTTTCCTTTCTATGGACTTGGGCCTATCCATGAAATAAATGAAGTTATGGATCGGTTTGTTTACAAAGATGTATTGGACATCACGTTGTTCCCTTACGCTGAGTAAAATATTCGGCTCATTTGGTTGTTTTAGCATGACAATGATCCCAAACTTGCATCAAAACATGTCAAATATTTGGTACGGGAGTCAAAAATCGATGTTTTGTCATGGCAGGCACAATCACCTGACCTAAACTCCACAGAAAACCTATGGATTATCGTAGATAGGAAGATCAAGCGAGATTCGGAAACAAATAAGCACAACATTTTCTAAATAATTCGGGATGCCTGGAAAAGCATACCCAAGGATCAATTGAGCATGTTATAGATTCAATGCCTCGTAGGTGTGCAGCTGCTATCAAAAATAATGGATGCTATCGACTATTAGACAAAATTGAATTATTTTAAAATAAACAAGTAAGCAAAGGCTACAGTCGAGCGGGGCCGACCGTTGAATACCCTACAACACTATAATAAACGATACAGTTCATGTAGGCGAGATACTCGAAAGAATTGCACAAGATATTGTGACAAATAATAAAAGAAAACAATCAGGTTTCGTTCTCTAATTTTCGAATAATAGAAACTTAAACTAATTTGCTCATTTCCAATTTATTGGTAGATGTTGCACGTAAATGGTCTTCCTAGATCTGGAACCAATATTTCCTAAAGACCCATAGTCTCTCAGAAGTGGCAAAAGATTAACATTTATTATTGGTTTTTGACTGAAACGCATCTATATGAGATACAGACATTTGACTATATTCTTCAACTAAATCAGCGTTAACGAAATAGTCAGAAGTGCGTCTTGCCTGTATTCTCCAAGAAGTCACTGTAATGGACATTTTCGTATTTTGTCTACAAAAGTTGGCAAACTATTTCACACATTGAATATTTTTGGATGGCCATCCAAAACTGCTTGGCTTTTGCAATGTGCGGTAACCCCCATTCAAATGTGCGCGAGGATCGGGCGGTAATTACGACCTGCCGACAATTTTGCAGTTTTTTGGTCCATTTCAACCCCTAAATATATGGCGATCATCTTCAAAAAGAGTAGGCTTCTATTCTGACCCTCATCTTATCCCCATGCAAAATTTCGTAAGGATCGGGCCATAAATGCGATCTGTATATGATATCCTAATATCCTAACTACTTAGTTTTGTTAGCTGTAGAAATATTACCAAATGTTTAATTCAAAATGAAAATTTGCCAAAAATATGACAAAATTGAAAAAATATGAGAAAATTTACAAAATCAATATTTTCATCTTTAGAGAGATATTTTTATGCGATTTTTTAGGCGTTTTTTCTTTTCTGCCAAGAGGACATTCTGAATTAATGAGAACTGTCGAAATCAGTTCAGCCGTTCTCGACATAAAAGAGATCTTTCAAGCATATCTTCTTTGATAGACATGTATATCGCACATATTTTGCTATATATCCGATTTGTTGGATGTTAACATCAATGTAAAGATCAGAAGTAACCCTGTCTTGGCTTTGTGATTTCGCCGGGAATGAAAAATTTCGAATTTTTTCTATACAAAAGATATGGTCTATTTTACCCGCTAAATATAATCCGATGACCACCCAAATTGGTAGGCTTCTTCCCCGCCCTAAACTCTAGCTACATGCGAAATTCCGATTGGTCTATAAATGCGACCTGTATAGCTACTGCAAAATCCGACATTTTTTTCAGTATTTGGTCCATTTCAACCCCTAAACATTTGGCTATCATCTCCAAAAGAAATAGGGTTCTATTCTGACATTAACCCCACCTCCATACTAAATTTCGTGAAGATCGGGCCATAATTGCGACCTGTAGAGTGATTACAAATTAACATGGACCGACGGACAGACGGACGGACATACATAGCTAGATCGACTCAGCTCGGCGAGCTAGGAAGATCCATATATACTTTCCTATATGGGAAACCAATATTTCGAGGTGTTACATAAATTCTGGCCCAATCAAACTTATAATACCCCAACACATAGTGTTGTAGTTGCTTTAGTTTTGACCAAGCAAAAATTGGTCATTTTAGTTTTCCATATATTATTTTTCGTTCAAAATTATTGTTGTATTTTTATTTTTAGTTTCTTAAAAGTGAAATAAAGACCTCATTTAAAACTGGAAAAATAGTTACGATTTGTTTATTTTTGTAAAAGTTACAGGACATTTATTGTCTTTGCGATTTTAGTTGCTTTAGTTTTGGCCACCAGTGTAGCTCCGATATATACCTTCAACCGATTTCGAGTTAATTGTGCCGATACCAGTCCAAATGACCCGAATTTTGGCACATCCGGCCAAATGCAGTCTAGAAGCAAGTACATCAAATTTGGTGAAATTGGTTCAGATATAGCTATAGCTCCCATATATTTGTTTCATCCGATTTGGTATTTAAGTCCCTCACATTCGTAATATGCATTCACATGCAAAAAATGATATTTGGTACCAGATATCTTATAGAGCTAGGAAATAATTTTGCCAAATTTTATCGAGATCGGCTAAGATTAGAATATAGCTCCCATATATATCCTTAATCCGATTTCAGGTTTATTGTGCAAATAATGGCTTAGCCTAGCACAAAAAGAGCGGTATGAACAGAAAAAAGTTAAGTGTTTTATAAACTTCGATTTCTGTTATGAACACATGTTAAATTTTGTTTCGATCGGGCAATTCCTTCATATAGAAACAGGTGTTCAAAAAAGACGCGTCCGCAATTTAGAAATGCGTGCTGTCATTAAATATTTACATAAAAAAGATTTATCGGGACAAAAGATTTATTTGTAGACAAAACAATACTTATTCTCTGGAAAATACAATACATTTATAATTATGAATTCAAATTTTTTTTCAGATATTCAGGTACATGGAATTCTTGGATGCATCGCGAAAATGATAAATACATGAGATTGATGTTGGCATAAAATAGAACAAACTCCCATCCTATTAATCTATTCATGACGGTGACATTTATCGAATATGAAATAATGGATCAATAACACCAATATAACAAGAACAAACAAAGCTAATAAAATATAAAATGTATTTTTAATTACTATTGGCCAAGGTATTGACAACAAAATAAATATAAAATATTATTTTTGAAGGTTGTGTTTTATTTTGTTAAGAGTTCATAGTGTGTATATGTATTTTTGGTCTTGTTGTCCAATGGAGGTTGTTTGTGAAAACATACATATATATTCATTGCAATCTTATTTTGTTGTCCTCCACGAAAATCTAATAATCAAGATAAAGGTTCGAAACTTAGTAGAAGAAAATAACAAGTGCAACTTTAGTTGGAAAATGCAAGCATTTGGATCCAAAATTCAAGATTAGGATCTACATGCAGTATTTGCTACTCGATGTGTTTTACATATTTATAAACATATAATAAATATATATATATATATATATATATATATATATATATATATATTAATCTATATATATATATATATATATATATATATATATATATATATATATATATATATATATATATATATATATATATATATATATATATATATATATATATATATATATATATATAATCTATATATATATATATATATATATATATATATATATATATATATATATATATATATATATATATATATATATATATATATATATATAATTACATATAATTAATAAATGTAATTTCCCGCAGTGTAATTGCTGACGATAGAGCATAGTCCCCGTATAACGTTACATGTGAGTTAAGGTTACTTTTAAGGGTTTTACTTTAAGAATTTTCCGAGGATATGAATCCTCTTCTTACAAAATTTTCAATTCGCTCAACTATTTTGTATAGTCCGCATATTAGAGTGCCCTTCACATTCGGGATTTCACTGATTGCAGTCCCAATGAATTTTGCATTTTGAGTTCTCATTGGATGGTTTATTCCCATATCTAGTCAATTTTTTGGATTTTAGACCTCAGAATCTGCAGTAATTTCTAAATTGAAATCCTGGCAATATGACTTTAAATTAACTATCATAAATAAAGTTTCATCGATTTATAAAAGTTAGGGACCCCATAAAGTATGTTAATGAGTAGAAATCTTTGTTGAATAAATTATGACGTGAGCCTCTTCGTTCACAAAATTTAATATGTGTCTTTAAACCTTTGCACAGGTTTTTATATTATTCTTAGGATGATAGATGTTACAAAAGGTATATATTTGTTCTTATTAGATTTAGCTCTCATATAATATTATCTCCTAATATTCGTCGACCAAATGTGCTCCAATTTGGCCGATTTGAGGTGTTTTGAAGGGCTCAAAAACATTTTTGAGGTTATAAATCATTTGTTAAAAATTACAACAAAAGTCCACTTTATGATTTATTTTATATTCCCCAGTACATCTTTATAATCGTCGAATTTTCTATTCCCAAAGGCATTTTGAAGCAATTGTACACAAAACTCAGTTTTTTCATTTTCCCGATTTTTATAGAGGCTTTTCACAAGATTTTCTTTCGTGTAATTACAAATAACCAAAAAAGCCGTTCTTAGGGCTGGATGGAAGAAGTAGTCAGCAGTATCTCATTACCAACGAATAACAATTGATTTTTATATTTATAGATTGGAGTAAATTTCGTATATATATTTTTCTAATTGTTAAATCAAGGCCTATTTAACAAGGTCACACATCAGGTGAATTCGGGTCTAAGTTCTCTCTTGTCAAAGGTTTTTTCCATGTGAAATTCAAAAAATAATAAAATATGTTCCAGAAATTTTACAATGCTACTGTCTCAGAATTGCTCACGTCTTCGATATTTTGGAACTTACCTAAATAGGAGCTAGGCATGAAAAAATTCAATTTGGGTTTCTAGACTTTTTAAATTTTGTAGTTCGTAACTCTTCCAGCGAAGATATATTTAGAAGAGGGCTCTGAACCAAGCTCCCAAAATGTCATTACTTGACTTTGCCTGTGATAGTATTTATACTATATTTCGTTGCTTCCGCCAGTAGAAAATTGTTAGTTGAAGAAAATATTAAAAAGCTATGACACATTTATTCCATATAACCGCGATTCACCCTAACACGAGTTTCCTACAGGTTACATGTCGTTAGAATCATGTTTTCCGAATAAATTGCATTCATTATAAAAACGAAGGTAATTGCGAATACAACGCTTTGTGCTTTATGTGCGAAGTTCTCCATAACCCAGATATAAACATCGGATTGCACAATGATCACTTTGCATAATAATCTGCCTTGTGGTCTGCTATTCTTTACTCACTACCTTTAGTTGGTGTAACATTGGACGACCACAATTACATGTGAGCGATTCGCGTGATGTAGGATTTTCCAGATTTTCTCTTGTAAAGTACGTAAAGTAAAAAAAAAATACAAGGAATATTACACTGCGAACCGACAATTTGAGTGACAAATTATTTTTGGATATATAAGGTCATTCTTTTGTGGAAATATATTAAGAACCCCAAAGATTCTCGTGTGTCGAATTTCTCAGTTATAGGGGAAGTGTTTTTTGTGCGTGTGCAACAAATACACAACTTAATGTGGAAATTTAAAAACTAGCTAACAATTCCTCTCTCGAGTACGGGTGTTATATTTGTCAACCAAATATCATATATATATATATATATATATATATATATATATATATATATATATATATATATATATATATATATATATATATATATATATATATATATATATATATATATATATATAAAAATCAATTGTTGTTTGTTGGTAACGGAATCAGTTGAAAACGGCTGGACCGATTTGCATAATTTTTTGTACAAACGTTTGTCATACCACGAGTTAGGTTTTTAAAGAAAAAATATTGACCACACCTCCTTTTACGCCCACTATTTCGATATATCTAAAATGTTTATATTTGCCAAAATAGTGAAGATATCGGTTTCAGAATTATTACACGAGATGCTGTTGGCTTTCCATCCAACCCTAAGTACTTATTTAGGGGCTGAGGAACGCGCCTACTTTTAAATCTATCTCTCTATATGTAAAAGAAAGTTGTGTTAGTTACTACTCTTATAACATAAAGACCGCCGGTCTGATTTTAACGATTAAGACAAATTCGGAATTGCCTCTTGGCAGAAATGAATAAAATCCCAAAAAAATCGCGTAAAAATGTGAAATTTGAACATTTTCATTTTGACTTTTAAATTGTACAATAGTAATGTTTTATATTGCATATTTTTTTCCATTTTGACTTACTATTTTCGAATGTACATTTGTAGTGTTTTTTTTTTAATTCTAATATGATGTGTAGGTTTTTTTGGGTAGTATAAAGCCACAACGGATAAAACTGTTATTTATTTATTTTTGTTATTTATAGATTTTATTCGTTGTCGCTTTATATGAAAATTCTAAAATCGAGAAAAATCGACAATTTTTCAATGGAATCTAATTTCAAAATAATAGTACATTCTACCGACAAATTTCGTAAGGACCTTTAAAAATTTGCCGCAAAAAAATCAGCGAACCAGTTGAAGATTCTTTTTCTTTTTTCTATATTGAAGTGTACATTTTTTTATTGGTTTGAATTCTGAATGAATAGTATTAAAAATGAAATGAGGGCGCAATACGATGTTAAATGCTTTCTACTCCAGGACCTACATCGTGCTTCAGCTGGAAGATGCGAACACATTTAAACAAACAAAAACCAAAGAAGCGTTATGGGGCTAATTTCAAATAGTGGACCTACTTCTTTCAATAAATTGTCAAATGAGAACACAAAATGCAAAATACATTGGGACTGCAATCAGTCAAACGCCGACTATAAAGAACGCAAAATAGAAATTCTACCTAAACATTCAAGATACCTTTAATCGCTTTGCCAGGTCATGATATGGATCATAACCTCGATTTCAAGTATATTCTACATTTTAACCATATTTTTCGTACTAATTTTAGCTTATGTTGATAATTTAAGAAGAAACCATCTTTGCAAAAAATTATCACGTTTTGGTATTACCATCATATGATTTAAGGTATTTTCGTGGTCTTGCTCACTTTTTCATATTTTGGCCCTTATTTGGCATCTTTGTTTCTAAGGGGAAGAAAACCTCTTCTTATAAATTTTTATTTTTCGGAAAAGCGCGCATCTTAGTCTTGAGGCTACCTGGGGTAAAAAACCCTGGAGTGGAAAATCATCTTACAGATAATTATCCTCATATGAATTTATTTAAGTATAGTCCCCACATTAGTATAAAAATAACTTTCCCAACCAATGTGTGGTCAGAAAAGAAAATTTGGTATTCTATTGAATTTGTAACCCCCAAGAGAATATTGGTTGGGAACGTAGATTTGGGATGTACGTCTATATGAAATAAACTCCGAAATGTCAATCTGGGACTCATTCAGTCGGAAATTGTGGCAGAAACATGAAAAAAAAATACGAAATTATAAAGGAACTTTATTGGATCTCCACCGCAAAATTTAAATGACAAACAATTAATGTCCATCTTACGGTAATCGGAGCAAAAGAGTAATTTTTTTGGCTATTCTGACTACATTCTGCCTTCAAGTATGTGGTGGACAAAACTGAATACCACGCAGTACGGGATTTTAAACGTTGGAAATACAAATTTCAAATTATAGCTCATTTGAATGCTTTTTACAATATCAAAAATTGAGCTGAATTTTCACATGGGGCTATTATAGATGTTCTTTATCATATAGTTATTTAACACTCAAATTAAAGCCTATAGCTGAAAAATAAGATCAGGCTCTTTAAAATATCTAAAACCGACGGTAATTATAATTTTTGCCATGAATATTAATTTATATTTAGTCATGGAGTCATTACTCATAATCAAGTCATTACTTATAATCAAAATTGGAGTAATTATAATGGCGTCATTACTTATAATCAAAATTGTGCCGCCTACATAAGTCAGATCTGTGATTTATTATGCTTTAAAGACTAAAAAAACGGGCCGGCAACGCGGACCGGGCCAGCTAGTCTATATATATAAAAATCAATTGTTGTTTGGACCGATTTGCATAATTTTTTGTACAAACGTTCGTCATACCCCGAGTTAGGTTTTTGAAGAAAAAAATATTGACCACGCCTCCTTTTATGCCCACTATTTCGATTTA